TTTTGGGGTCTTTCCGGTGGTGCAGCGGTTGAGCGCTGGGTTGCGAAGCTGCCCTCAGCTTCTGCAGCGCCGGTTCGATCCCCGGCCACCGGGTGAGTCCCACATGGCATGCAGACCTCTCCTGCCGCCCGCTGCTCCCCTCAACAGTGTATTTCGTCCATCTGCCTGCTCTGCTCTCTGCTCTGACTCTGGTGAATTCTCTCACCCTCCCGCGCTTCTGACTGTACCCAGTGCTTGTATAAATAAATAAATCTTTAAAAATATAAAATAAAATATATTTTGTAAATGTGTTATAAAACATGAAAATAACATTGTAATTATGATTATTAATCACATTTAATCCCATGTTCTCTTTTTAAAAATAATCCACATCTTCCACATTGATTAAATTCAGTCTTTGTCCTGAGAAAATTCATCCAAGTAACAAGAGCTTCTGGCCAGCATAGCCCCTTGATTTATTGGCACTATGGTAGAGGCATTAGGTTAAATGATAATTATACAGGGGCAATATCTATATGGGAGACATACCCTTTTTATTCAATATAATGACTTTGCTAACATTCACAAATGATTATTACTGTTTTTTATTACCATTATTATTTTCTAACATTGATTTTATATACAGTAAGTGTTCACTTAATGTTGTCAATAGGTTCTTGGAAACTGACTTTAAGTGAAATGGCATATAACAAACCCAGATCTTCAAATAACCTTGTTTCATTGAGCAATAATTCATTATAATGTTAATGAGAATAAAACAATCCCAGGTGACATTCAGTGAAATTACCATTTTTGAGGACCTGCTATGTGTATGTATATGTGTGTATGTATATGTATGTACACACACACACATATCTCATACTCTGAGATTCTCCAAAACCTGTTTTGTTAAATATTTTGTGTATCTATAAGGGTAGGGATACAGTACTCATGTCATATGCGCAATGATTCTAGTTACCAGTCACGACTACACTCATAGCTTCTGCTTTACCTAGGGCATTTCTTTTTTTTTTTTTAATTTTCTTTTTCTTTCTATATTTTTTGTATCATTGTTCATTTTTAAACAGTGTTTGCTTCCCTCCCCTCCCCCATGTAGTCCCCAGAGAATTTCCTTCACCAGTGCACCTGTGCACCATCACTACAGTCCTCTGTGCTCCTCCTTCCCTCCCTCTGATCCCTCTCCCTCCTCCTCCCCTGCAGGATGTCTCTGGTTTATAATTGTCTGTTTTTGTTTTGTTGTGTTGTGTTTTGTATTGATATTATTTTTTACCCTGATGTCTTATTGGGTTCCCCTATATTCCTCCTATAAGTGAAACCATGTGTTATTTTTCTTTTTCCTTCTGACTTACTTCACTGAGCATAATTCCTTCTAGCTAGCACATTTCTTGATCTTCATCTCCCACCACCTAGCTTAAACTACTGCAGAAGCTCCACTGACTACTCTTCTGAACCCCTTTTGCTCAATTTGCCACTAAAAGAGCACATCACTTCCATACTTAAAAACCATTCAGTTGTCTCCCATTTTTCTTACATATGCTAAATCTTCACCATACCCTGTGTGCTCTTGCCTACTTTATTATCTCATGAGAGAGTGTCCCCACTCCCTTTACTCAACCCCCTTTAAGTTCTTTCAAAAGTGGGTCAGGCTTGTTTCCACCACAGAAAATTCTCACATGCTGCTCTGATACAGAGAAGACAATTTTGATTTCTCCGTCTCTATATCCAGCTCACTCTTTTTTTTTTTTTTAAAGATTATTTATTTATTTAGTTAGTTAGTTATTTTTTTATACAAGCATTGGGTACAGTCAGAAGTGTGGGAGGTTGAGAGAATTCACCAGAGTCAGAGGGAAGAGCAGAGCAGGCAGACTGACGAGGTACACTGCTGAGGGGAGCAGCGGGTGGCAGGAGAGGTCTGCTCGCCGTGTGGGACCCTCACCAGCGGCCGGGATGGGAGGCCCTCCAGCTCACTCTTACTTACCCTTTTGGGTTTGGGGTACTGTCTCCTCCGGGGGAATCCTTGACAATCAGGACCCAAGATCTGTCTTCTCAGTCTCCTTAGTTAAATCATGGCAGCAGTTAGCACAGCATAATTTTAGAACCGGTTGTGTCACTGGCAGTTTATTGCCATTCTTTTCTCTCAGTCACAAGCTCCTTGAGGAATAGAGCTGAAATTTGTCATTTTAAGGAAAGATCTCAGTTAATATTCATTGATGACTAAAGAAATGGAATATATAAGCAAAATGTTATGTTTTTAAAGTATATTTGGATATTGGCTGCAGAAACAAAATTATTTGTGAACTTGTCAATAGCTAGAAACTTAATTGAGGCGAAATCTCCAGGTTCATGAAAATCTTCAGAGAACGAAAGGTAATTGAAAATAGGTATTTTAAGATGATCCTGCGACAACCACTATATATTGTAAAATTTAAAAAAGAAGTTAATAGATACTTGTATACTTGTTAAAATTCAAAGTTAAGTATACATCTTCACTATTAATTTCATGCATTCAAGTGTCTTTTTAAAACTTTGCTAAAAGAAAGAAAGGACAGACTTTTCTTCGCATATTGAAAAAAATTGTTATAAAAGTCCCAAAGACTTTGACCTGTAACTTTGAAAGTTTAATGTGCTCTGTGGAATACTACTTTTATTTATTTAGATACTTGTTTTAGAAACATGCAGAAATTCTCAAGGTATAAGATATATATATATATATATATATGATTTATTTATTTATGCATACACGAGCTGGGGTACAGGCCAGAAGTGTGGGGGGGTGAGAGGATTCACCAGACTGGGGAACTGAGTAGGCAGACTGACTGAAACACACTGCTGAGGGGAGCAGCAGGCAAGTCAGGAGAGGTCTACTGCGCCATGTGGGTTGCTCCCTTGCTGGCCAGGGATCGAACTCATGCTCCAGAGGGGCTGTGGACTGCTTTATAGGTTGCGTCTTAACCCCTTGCACCACCAGGGAGGCCCATGAGCTATATTTTTCATGAGAGATTAATTTTTTTCCCTTTATAATTCTCATAACTTTATTTTTTGTATTGTACTTCCTGGAACTTCAGTATAATAGGATTTGAAGGGATAGCATAAATCACTGTTTTATTTATTTCCAAAGAAAAACTTTTAATATTTCTTCAAAAATATAAATATAAACCTATGGTAAATATTTGATTGATCCCATATCAGTATAGAAAATGCCCTTCTACTTCTAATTGATGAGAATATTTCTAACAACTATTGTATTTTATCTATTTTCTGCATATATAGAGAACAATCATAGTTTTTTTCTTTATTCTTTTAATTCATGAGAGATTAATTTTATTCAACAGATGATAATTAACTTCTGTAGGCTTTACACTAATATAACTCTTACCAACCCAGTCCACATCAAAGAACTGTATAGATTCTCACCAAATTAGGAACTTAACAAAAGGCATGTTTCTTATTTGGTAATGTGAGTTTTCAAATAAAGTACAGAGACTCTAAAAGACTAGCTGTCTGACATAATACAGAATGGCAGTCGATCATGTTTTGGTCCAACCTAATTCTATCCCTCTCTTTTAGGTGCTTGCATCAATGTATTTGAGTTAAAGGCAAGCAGATTATATGTAGTTTGGGAAATACACTCATGTGCTTCCTACTTGCTTTATCCCCTTTCCTCTAGCTGATAATCACATCTCTATTTTATACCAGTGGATCTTCTTATAATTGGAATTAGGACATCCATAATGCAGATCCCTACAGGGGGTTCTGTTCTTCCAAAACTGAATTTAGCTTCTCATTTCCTATCTTCATTTTGACACAACCATTCCCATAAAGGCTTCAATAATTAAGCAGAAACAGATGCAGATCTCAACTACATACAGTATTTGCTTTAAAAAATATTATGTTATTTGAATGCAATAGAAATTTCATCTCCCATTAAACACTTTAAAATTTTTAAATGTTGTTTCTCTGTATGGATTATGGCTTCTCTGGAACATCTTTATATCCCATTCCCAGAACAAATAGACACATTATATGTAGACACATTGGTTTTGCTACAGCAAAAATGTTATTGATAGCAATGACAACTGCTGCTTTTGCCAGCAGGATGAAAATCATTTATTCACGAGGTCAGAGATTTCTTCTCATGTGTGCAAAAAGAAAAAAAAAGAGATCTGTGGAGATGTAGGTCAGTCAGTTATTAATAAGGTTTGCTGAGTAATCACTAAATGTGATTTGTACCAATTATAGCCTAACTATTTTCAGGGTTTATAGCAAAAGTTGAAATTAGCTCAGTTGTGGACTAGGCCAAATCATGGTTCCTTTCTTCTATGATACATGTGCAACAAACTTCTTGATTTGATATTTGGGCTCCTTATATGTAAGAGGAGATTCAATATAATACATGTTTGTGCTTTTCTTCTATATGCCAGCCCTGGATTTAAGATATTTTTCACATGCACCTAAAAAAACCCTATTATAACTTCCCTTTGGTAATCTTAAAGAAAATGTGGTTAATCATATTTTCTTCAGTACCCCAAGACTAAAACATGAAGAAATCTCTTTTATCAAAATACACCAAAACCTGAAAACCTTGCCCTAATAGATTAGGATGCTGTTTTATATTGCTTACATTTAATTCAAATCTTTATAAATTAAAAGTCTATAGCATATGGATAAACATATATATCATATAGAGCATAGCATATTTTTATAGCAAATATTAATTCCATTTGTCTGGTTTTTGCTTCGTAAATCGGAATTTTAAAGATTTAGGAGAGTGGAAATTGTCTTCTTCATTTATTTTTTATATTCATTTATTTACCTTTTAACAAAATTATATTAAATAGTACTATATACCTGTTAGTATACTAGATATTAACACAAAGCTAAATAACATATATCCTCTCCCTCCCTCTAAATACCTGTTCATGATTAGTGTTGCATAAAATTGTATTTAATATACACATATTTATTTAAGTTGAAATTCATTTTAATTTTTGTTTTCCTAGATCATCCACAAAAACGTGAATTTGAATATGAAATGATATTTGACTCTGAAGATGTGAAGTCTAAAATGGAATCTTGTGTGACTTTATATGTGCTCGAAAAAATTTACTGTATTGAGACTAGAAAGATAACATTGGTCTTCAATTTGATATTCTCACCAAGGAAACCATCAAGGTAAACCTTTTAACACTCCCCCTTTAAACATTATTACTCTTTTAGACTAATTATTATTATACTAAATAATGTTGATTGTTCTTGCCATCATTCTACATTTTTGGATTGTACTACTGCTTTGATGCTGTTGAGGTACATATTTTGGGTTGGATTATGTTTAGCCATAAAGTAGTTCAAACAATTAGACATCTAAGATAACCCTCATAAATTGCTACTTTGCCTAGGTCATTCGAGTATAATATTAACAAAAGAGATCTATTTAATTAATAAAAGAAAAAAGAAATTCTGACTTTGGCACTGTGCATTGTCAAATGATGTTCCCTACTACTGTTTCTCAGAACCAGTTCCAATGATGACAGTGAAACTGACCTATGTTGTTTTGCAGTTGGTATCATTTTGACCACCCCGAACCATAACATTGCATATCCTGTTGTAAGAGGCTAGTATTGTAATCTCAAAATAGTGAGCTTTGAATGTCCTCTGGGAAAACTAATCCAGTGTCTTTGTATTTACTTCTTAGATAACTAATACTTAGCACCTGCAGATAATGTATGAGAGGTCTCACTTGAAGTATGTTTTACGTTGTTTTTTTTTAAAACCAGAGACAACACTACAGCGGGGGAGAAGGGAGTAGGATCAAAACAAGGGTGGTGGGAATTTTACGGAGACTAACCAAGATGAAAATGCACACATTGTACAAAAATGAAAAATGATGTAAAATATATAAAAGAAAAAAAATATAAAAGAAAAAAGAAAAAGGAAAAAAGAAATATATTTTATGTTTTAATGTGAGAGACTGATCAAGACCACAATATACACAGAGTACAAAAATACAGCTGGATGAAAAAAAAAAAACCTGTAATGACTGTGTATTTGATATAATCATGCATGTATTCAAAGTGGCTTTGACTGTGTTGTCCAATAACTAAAAGATACCAGGGTCATTGTCAGGAAGCAATAATAAAATCAAGCCACAAAAGGTTTACTATAGATATTGACATTATTCTCTATCTTTTCTTTCATTTTCATATCTGTCTATATTTATTTTTAGTATATTTGTTATTTAACTTTGTGTTATATTAATTTGGTGATATGGAAATTACTAGCAACAGTGAATGGAAAAGTGCTATCTTTGGTGAATCTGAGCAGAAACTATGAGAATTTGTATTCACTTGAAATTTTGTGGATTTAGAGCTTGGTGAGTTCCTGAGAAACTAATTTAGGACAACCTGTATGCACGATTCATAAAGTTCTGAGTGTTGTGTGATATTCTGATGTAATATTTCTATTTTGTGCTCATATGTATATATTCATTCACTTTTGCCATTCCTTCTTCTCTATTTGGAATGGTTTGCTACTAGGCACACAATTAAATGATAACCAAGAGTTCTAAATTATGAAAAAGAAAAAGAAAATAATTGTACCCCAACCATGATTTACATAGATAATTGAAATAACTATTCAATTCAGTTCTCTATTTGGTATGTTAAAAAAAGGAAAACAATGTTTTGGTAAAAGGAAAATAGTAACATTATTTCACAACAATTGCAAGGTAATTTTTCACACTCATCCTTTTGACATAGTAGTGTTGTACATAATAACAACAGTCAGGGCCCTAAGTGGTGGTTTTAAAAAAAAAAAAACAGGGCTATTATTCCTAAAGGTCTTGACTTTTTCTTTCAATAATTATTCTTTCAATAATTGGTCTTCATATTGCTACTATTGCTACCTCACAAGAGGATGACTTCTAGAATTTCAAGCATTGCTATATTTTATTTATTTATTTCCTATTTAACTCTGAATCAACCTTTAGACTATCCAAGATTCATTTGGAGCAAAGAATGGCAGAAGTAAATGAATATATACATATATGTCCACAGCATACGTACTTTTTATACATATGTGCTTTTTCTTTCAATAATTATTCCTAAAGGCCTTGACGTTTTCATTCAATCTAATATAAAAAGAAAAGATATCAGGAGTTAATATTGCTATGAGTTAATTTGATAACTTCTAATTTAACACAGACAAACATTTTTTAAAAATGAAAAAAATTATAGATATTTTCCTTATGAAATATTTAGAAATAATTTTCTTACCTCATTTTTTTTTTCCTGGAACTTTCCACCTGTTTAAGAGATATATGGGATAAGAACCTAGGGTCCTATTTCACAGAGGAAAAATAAACCAGAGGTCATGGGATAGGAACACATTTGTCATGGGTGATGAATATGGAGGAGTCCAAGGTTTCTCTAGCACAGAGAGCAGAAGAGAAAGTAAGATTTGAGAGTTGTGCCTGAATCTATCTTATCAATCATATAAGTGTGTTGAGCCTATGAATTTGTTTTTTATGCTAGAAACAATAAGAAATGACTAAAAGACTAATACTTGTGGAAATGTTTTAGGACAACTTGTGTACATGAGTCATAAAATTCTCTAAGTGCTGTGTACATATGTATATTTTCATTTACTTCTGCCATTCTTTGCTCCAAATGAATTTGGGATGGTCTAAAGGTTGATTCAGAGTTAAATAAAAAAATAAGTAAATAAAATACAACAATGGTTGAGATTCTAGAAGTCATCCTCTTGTGAGGCAGCAATAGTAGCAATATGAAGACCAAGTATTAAAACAGAACTCTGGAAATAGTGCTCAGAAGAATAGAGTTTCATTTACTAAGACAGGAGAATGTGAAAGACATACTAGATTAGGGTTTACATTTTGATAATAATTTAAGGTCATATCAGTCTTGGTTAGACTGCATAAGTTACATTGCATTGTATTCCACTGTCTCAATGCAATGCACTTTACTGTTACCAGCAGCCTATTAAAGGCATATTTGTCGATTTTTGGCAAATGTTCTATGATAATATAAATAATGTGGCAATGAATATCCTTATACATATCACTTCTCAAAATTGTCAGTCCTCACATACGATATTATAGCCACTCCATTACATCTTTAGGTCATTTCCACCCTAACCAAGTCAGCAGGTAGCCAGTCATTCCTCGACTCCTTAGTTGCCTCGTCTTTCCACTCTTCTTCATAGCCCATGCTTAGAAAGACATTTCCACTGTCTTCATTAATTCAACTGCCACTCAATTATGTATTATAGTGTAGGGTGTGTGTGGTCTTTGTCAATTACGATTCATTTCTTTAAGTTTTAATTTAAGTCAATTATATGGACCTTTGTAAGTGTTCACAGAGAATATGAATTTTCTAAATGAAGCAAGAAATGAAAACACTTTCTCATAGTACTTAATTTTGAATAGGAAATCTCCACATGGAATACCTGTTAAGTTTCAATACTTGTGTCCATTTACCAATGTTTACGTAGATTTTCAGATATAGTGTTCTATGATGGTTAAAGAAAATCTATAATCGATTTGCGTGTATTATTGTTTCTTAGTAAGTAACTGGAGAGTAGACAAAATGCCCAACAAAATATAAACTGTGACCTAAAATATTATTTCTAAAATGTAATTAACAGTTATCTATATTTTTTTTTTTTTATAGAGGCATGCTTTTTATTTATTTGTTTGCTGGTTTGTTTGTTTGTTTTGTTTATACATGCACTGGGTACAGTCAGAAGCGCGGGAGGGTGAGAGAATTCACCAGAGCCAGAGCGGGGAGCAGAGCAGGCAGAAGGACCGAAGTACACTGCTGAGGGGAGCAGCGGGCGGCAGGAGAGGTCTGCACGCCATGTGGGACCCTCCTCTGGTGGCCGGGGAGCAGCCGGGGATCGAACCGGCGCCGCAGAGGCCGCGGGCAGCTTCGCAACCCAGCGCTCAACCGCTGCGCCACCGGGGAGGCCCAGTTATCTATATTTTTTAAGAATTAAAATTCTCACTTTTTATTGAAGCTGCAAGGTTTACTTGCATTTTCATTTAGATGTTGATCCACTATATTATCTTAACTTGTTTTCTTGTACTATCTTTTACAATCTCTTTTTCTATTCAAGTACTCACATTACATTGAAAATAGAGTGCATAACAGATGGGATCTGGAAGTATCCCCTAATGTTGGTTGCTACTGAGCCTGATGTAGATGATGTCATCGATATTGAAGGGGTTGGTTTATTTAAGGAATCTCTTATGGACTTCAGGATGACCAGTCAGACAAGGTAATATTTCTATTTCTCCTTCTAACTTATTTCACTTAGCATCAACCCTTCTAGCGCCGTCCACTTCAAATGTCATGAGTTTATATTATTTGATTGCCGAGTAGTACTATATTGTGTATATATACCAGTCTGTTTTGGGTGACTTAGGTTGTTTCCGTATCTTGGCTATTGTAACTAGTGCTGCTATAAACATGGGCATGCAGGTTTTATTTCAAACTGTTTTTTTTTTTTTTTAAAAGATCTTTTTAAAAAAAAAAAAAAGATTTATTTATTTATTTATACAAGCGTCAGAAGCGCGGGAGGGTGAGGGAATTCACCAGAGTCAGAACGGGGAACAAAATAGGCAGACTGACAAAATACACTGCTGAGGGGAGCAGCGGGTACAGCAGGAGAGGTCTGCGCGCCATGTGGGACCCTCACCAGCAGCTGGGGATCGAACTGGCTCTGCAGAGGCTGCAGGCAGCTTCACAGTCCAGCTCTCAACTGCTGCACCACCAGGGGAGGCCCTAATCATAGCTGTTTTAATATCATTCTTCTAATTCTGACATTCCTACCAAGTCTATTACTGATGTTTGCTCTGTTTCTTCAAAATAATTTTTTTTTTGTGTTTTGGTAAGAAGTTTTTTGATAGCTGAACATGGTATCCTATGTAAATTAAGCTATTTTAAGTAGGCCTTTAGTGACATAGTAGTGTGATTGGGTCCTCCTAAAATTTCTAACTCTCAGACTTACCTACACCAATCCTACAGCAATTCATAAATTACAGTTCAGGTTCTCCCTGTGACAGTTTGCAGTCATGCCTCTCTGAATTTCCCTTTCTTTCTCTCAAATCTTGAGATTAGTTGTTTGCTCTGTGTCTTTCCTTCTCATAAGGATCTAAGAAGGTTTGTTGATTTTTCATTCTGTTTAGCTTTTTACTTGCTGGTGGTGATTTCCAAGTGCCTTACATTAGGAACCAGAAGTCAGAATTTCAGTTTGTTTTCTTTTGTCTGTAATTTACACCATTTGTATCTGCAGTTCAGTAGTTTTCATGAATAGAACCTCTAATTCTTTTATATTCATATGGCCAATTTCCAAAATTTAAAATGGTTATTTTTTTTAATTTTTTAACATGCATAAAGTTTTTGTTTTATTTACTTCTTTACTTTTACCATTTATTTTTTAAATAAATTTTATTTTTATATTCCCCATACAATTGCAACCCCCTTATTTTTAATTGTGCAGATTTACAGTGCTTTTGGGAAGGGATCTGTTAACCTCATGCAGTCAATTAGAAGTGAATACTGTGTAATATAGTTGCATGTAAGTGCCTCCTGAAATTTTATATTTCAACTGTTGACTAGAATATGATGGTAATTACACTGGTTTTCTTCACTATGCAGTTCCCCCTCCCACTCTGGTAGGCTCAGTTCTGCTTTCATGAAGGGAACAGGGAGTGTTTCGTGTTACTGGATTACAGTGAGCACATGCCCTGCTTATGCATCTTGAGAAGCAGACTATGGGAAGTAAACACTTAACTTACTGGTTTTCTTCATTTCTGAAGCTAATGACATGCCTGCCTGTGTTTTATGATGCCTCATGCTGTTCCCTGTTCTTACTAGAGAAATTAACTTTATAGAGGAATTGTGCATGGGTGATGTATTCTATCTACATACTTCAAACTGGATGATGGACAATTAAATGTATAATTACCTGTTATAGTTGGAACACTCGCATTTGATAGAACTGAGTTTCACTTAACATTCTAAAATCTTTTATAATGTTTATTTAACAACTTCCATAGATATTTCAAGTTATTAGATATTCTGTTCATGTTTAAATTAATTTGACCACATTCAAAAAGATGTTCGTGGCTAGTGAAATAGTTTCAATTGATTTTATCATAGCTGTGAATTTTCTCAAATATAATATTGGCCAAAAAAACAAGTTGGAAATAAGCCCCCCAAATTATATTTTTCAGTTTCCCAGTGTTGTTACCATTTGTTATTCTTAATTCTCTTAATAATTTATTTCACTAATACCACTCTAGTTCAGGTAGTTTTCCATTAATTAGATCTTGTACTTTTAGTCCTTTTCATTATAATCCATTTAATGCATTGCAATAAAATCAGTCTTCTTAAAACATTGTTGTAAACATGTGACTTCCCTTGTGAGGAACATTTGATGGGTGGCATCTGAACTATGCATGCTGTTCATGGTCCTAGGCTGCTCAGACCTTCCAGATTTCCCTTCTGTTGTCTAAAACACACCTTCTACTTCAGTCATGAAAAAATAGTCACTATACTCAGTATCTGTCTTACGCATTATCCCTTACCAATCTTCATTTTCCTTCTGCTTTTAAAATGCCTTTCTCATCTCCAACTTTCTAAATTATACTCATTGTTATTTTCATCACAATATAATTTTATTTTACCAGTTAAACCTTAAGCTCATATGGGACTACATAAACCAATAATTGTTTTTCTTTAAATGCATGTGCCTTGTATTTCCACTCAGATTACATGTGTCCATATATATGTATATCGTCCTTAGGCAATACCTACAGGTGTTTTTTTTTTTTTTTCCTTTGTGCCATTTCTTGTTGTTTTGTATTTCTAGTACTGGACTTGGTTCAGAATAGTTCCTAATAACTATCCTAATAGTGAATCAACCTTAGAAAAATAATTTAAAATTACTTATTTTAGTCATTCAACAAAATTTCCAAAGATAAGTATTCCTGTTAGGAATCAAGATAATTTAAGTATTGTCTTAGGAAAATGACTGTTGTTTCATGTGAGAGAACAAAATGGCACTCTGCCTTAATATCAAAATATAAATCCAGTATGAAACTCATAGTATGGTCATTTACTTTGGAGGATTATAAGATTCTAATGTGCTTTTCTCCTGTAAATGCTTAAATCAAAGTTAATATTCAATAAATATTAATTTAGCTGTAAAATCAACTAAAAGGTACTATGTCGCTTGCTACAGCAAACATGAAGGTAGGGCTTTATACATATTATACATCATTAGGGAATAAGCATATGGAGAGTGTTATTTCATTCTGATTATATTTTACTATATAGAAAGTGAGTTCCACATGGGATCATGTTTATTCATCTTTGCAAACTCAGTACCGAGGTGCTCAATAAGTTATTTCAATCAACAGGCATTTTGAAATGAATCTTGAAGGTTAAGTTGTCATTTGCAAGGCAGATTAGGGAAGGGAGTGAAGAAGTTCCAGAAGAAGATAGCGTATGTGCAAAGTTCCAGGAGATGAGACAGTGGATTCTATCAAAAGAACTAATAGTAGTTAGAATTGCTCGAGTGTAGAGTACCATGAGAGGCTAGGAGGAGGTAAGACCAAAGGGGCAGTCGTTAAGTTCTTTTTTTTTTTTATTTGTTTTTTAATAAAAAATTTTATTTTTATATTCCCCATACAATTGCAGCCACATATGGCTCCTAGAATCTATGATTCTATTCAGTTATCATTTATGAAGGGCAAAGCAGAATGAGTGGTAACCATTTCTGATTTATCAATGTAATAGTTATTGCATACCTTCTTTGTTCCATTCCTCTGTAGTTAACAATTAAAGTATTTGATATCTTTGTTTTACATGCTTTGAAAACATGAGATATAAGCACAAATTTGCATTTGGTAAAATGTTTTCTACATTATAGGACTTTGGGTAAATATCAATTAGTGAATAAATGAATAAATTCATGAAATAAAGACAGACATCTTGAGGATTAGCCTAATGAGTTATTCAGAAATCACAAAAGTTAGAAAATTAAATATTAAGTAGATCTATAGAATATATCTTGTGTTAGTATTTTAATTTTCTGTTCTATGTACGTTCAATGTTTATTTCAGTGCTTGCTTACACACACGTGTGTATACACACATATATAATTTTATTTTCCTTAATTGAAATTTTTAAATGACCATTTAAAACACTGGGAAAGTTGTCAATGATTGTGATATTTCTGGACTTGCAAAGTGTGGTGGCAAAATGCATGGGTGATCAACATTCAAAATGTGTGCTTTCAAGAGAAAGCCAAAAGGAAAGCAATTTATTTGACAGCAATGTAATTTGCTGATGGCTGATTGATGGGCATGCAGAACATTAATGTGCCCTTATCAGATGTAATTGTTGGAGTCCATTAAGAAAAAAAGGAGAGAGCCAAGATGTAAAATTCTCAACTCTTGAGTCAAAAAATGTCTTTTACCTGTTTCATAAGCAATCTAAAGTTATTACTATTTATTTTCAGCAAAGGAGATAAATAGTGCTCTACATTAAAGTAGCAGCTTTGTTAATAGTTTAAAATTACTTTGAGTAGGTTTTTGGTATAAGTAGCAAATAAGACCTTAAACCACAATATTTAACTTTAAAATAATGAATAATATTTAGAGAATATTTAATATATATCATACTATTAATAAATTATTTTTGTGGTCATAAGACTAAATTCTTTTGTTAAAAACTCATAAAGAGAAGGATATTCCATTATACCTACCCTAATTTTAGCCATTGCATTGCTTTTCTTTCCTCTGCAAAGTCCCAGCCTCCTTGTGTTTACATTTTTTTTTTTTAAGAGAATTTTCTTCAGTTATTCTTTAAGGTTAGGTCTGCTGGTGATAGATTCTCTTTACTTTCTTTAATCTGAGATTCCTTTCATTATTCAAGGACATTTGTCCTTAAAATGGAATTTATGAATCAAAGTTCTTTTCTTTCACCAATTAAAAATTCTTGTGCCACTTCCTTCTGGCCTGCATGGTTTCTGAGGACAGATGTACTGTCATTTGAGCCTGTTGTTCCACTATAGATAATATTCCATTTCTCTCTAGTGTCTGTCAAGATGTTTTCTTGGACGTTAGTTTTCAAAAGTTTGATTTCGATCAGTCTAGTCATGTAATGTCTGTTGTCACCATTAAGGAAGACAGGAACTAGGATTGTTCTGTTCAATGCCAGAAATATAAGGGATGCTTAGTAAGTATGGTCTGAGGGTATGGAAATCCC